GCAGATGGAACGGATGTGGAAGGAGCCAACTATCAACTGGAGAGACAATAATCTACTCCAGTCACCCAGAGGACAATCACGAGCACACCGAGGGAGTAGCCATCATGATGTCACCAACAGCGGCTAAAGCTCTCATGCAGTGGGAACCAATCTCCTCCAGGATAATGACAGCCAGGTTCAACTCAAAAGGAAAGAAGGTTACAATCATTCAATGCTACGCGCCTACAAACGTCTCAGAACAAGAGAAGAAAGAGGATTTCTACAGTCAACTACAAACAGTAATGGACAACTTCCCAAAGAGCGATATCAAAATCCTGATGGGCGACATGAATACGAAGCTGGGGGGAGACAATACAGGAAGAGAACTCACCATGGGTCGTGAGGCCCTCGGTGAAATGAACGAAAATGGCGAACTCTTCTCAGACTTCTGCGCCTTCAATGATTTGGTGATTGGTGGCAGTGTGTTCAAACACAGGGATATACACAAGGCAACATGGATTTCACCAGATGGACACACCAAAAACCAGATAGACTTCATTTCAATCTCAAGAAAGTGGAGACGGAGCCTACTGGACACAAGATCGAGGAGAGGAGCAGATGTGGGTTCAGACCACTATCTAGTACAAGGGACTTTCAAGGTGAAGCTGAAAGCCTCGAGGATACCTGGGGATAGGCCACAATGCAAGTTCAACACGCAAAAACTGAAGGACACAATCACACAGGACATTTTCACTGCAACTGTCAGAGCAAAGCAGGAAACACTACGTGGGACCACTGAGGAATCACCCGTGGAAGACCATTGGAACTCTCTGAAGGTAATTTTCAACGAAACGTGCTCAACGGTTTTAGGAAGAAAGAAGAAACAAGACAAGGAATGGCTCTCAACAGACACTTGGAAACTAATAGAGGAGAGGAGAATGGTGGAAGAGAAAATGATTCAATGCAAAGATGGACAAGAGAAAGAGACGCTGAACTCAACTTACACAGCACTGGACAAAGAAGTGAAGAAGAGTGCCAGGAAGGACAAAAGACAATTCTACGACAACCTGGCTACTGAAGCTGAGAAGGCAGCAGGCAAAAGGGACCTGAGGACACTATATCAGATAACCAAGTCTCTATCCGGGAAGAGATCAACACAAGTGAAACCTATAAAAGACAGCCAAGGGAACCCAATTACCAAGGAAGAAACACAGATTAAACAATGGACGGACCACTTCAAAGGACTCTTGAATCGACCACCACCTACAACCCGTCCTGTAATACCAACAACAGCACGTACACAACTGCAAGTTGACACCAATCCTCCAACGAAAACTGAAGTCATGAATGCAATCAAGCTTCTGAAAGCTGGAAAAGCAGCTGGACCAGATGGAATACCCCCGGAAGCACTGAAAGCGGACCCAGAAACGACGGCAGATATGCTGACCCCATTATTGCAAAAGATCTGGAAAGGGGGAAAGGTGCCTACTGACTGGAGGAAAGGTTACCTGGTGAAACTACCAAAGAAGGGCGACCTGGGACTCTGCAAGAACTGGCGAGGAATCATGCTGCTGTCGACGCCAAGTAAAATCCTGAGCCGCATCATCCTGGAGAGAATCAAGGACGCACTGGATACAGAACTCCGACCAGAACAAGCTGGATTCAGGAAAGGCAAATCATGTTCTGACCAAATTGCAACTCTACGCATCATCATCGAACAAAGCATGGAATGGCAATCAAACCTCTACCTCAACTTCATAGACTTTGAGAAGGCCTTCGACAGCGTTGACCGCGAAGTAATTTGGAAACTACTCGAGTACTACGGCGTACCCCAAATATTCATCAATCTTATTCAACAGCTGTACGACAACGGCACATGCCAAGTGATCCACAACGGAAAACTCAGCGAAGCGTTTGGAGTAAACACAGGAGTCAGACAAGGGTGCTTATTATCACCAATGATATTCCTAATTGTGGTGGACTGGATTATGCGTCAGACAGTGGGAAACGAGAAGACAGGGATATCCTGGACCGACGTGAAGAACCTAGAAGACCTGGATTTTGCGGATGATTTATGTTTGATGTCACACAAAATCGAAGAGGTTACTTCATTCACTTATCTAGGGAGCATTGTCTCAGCTACAGGAGGAACGGACGAGGATGTCAAATCGAGAATCGGGAAGGCGAGAAACACATTCATCAACCTGAAACCAATCTGGAAATCTTCGTCACTCAGCCTGCATCAACAACAAAATTCGGATTTTCAATACAAACGTGAAGTCAATTTTGCTTTACGGATCAGAAACTTGGCGGGTCACCAAGAATATTTTCAACAGGTTGCAGACCTTTATCAACAACTGTCTTCGCTCCCTACTGAAGATCAGATGGCCGGAAAGAATCACCAAGAATAAGCTATGGGAACAAACGAAACAGGAACCAATCGCCCAACAAATATGCAGGAGGAAGTGGAGATGGATTGGACACTCGCTGAGGAGGCCGTTGAGTGACATCGCGCGTCAGGCCCTTGGGTGGAACCCGAAAGGGAAGCGGCGAGTGGGACGTCCAAGGGTGACATGGAGGAGATCGTGTGAGGAGGAGATGAAACAGTATGGAATAACATGGACGCAAGTGAAAAGTACAGCAGAAGACAGAAGCAAGTGGAGACGTGCAGTTGAAGCCCTATGTTCCACTAGGAACCCAAGGGAACAATAATAATAATGACAAGTTAATGTGTGATCAGATTGTTCGAAATGTGTTGCGCAAATGCACATTACACGATTCAGACAAATGACGTCTTCTTATTGCTTTATCTAAATTCATAAAGGGAACTAATTGTTTTAAATTATTAACTTATTATCTCAGTAAAGTGTTGGGTAAGGTGAATTATCTTGAAAATGACTTATGAACTACATTAATGCTTAGTTTTTTCATTAAGAAAGGCTCTTCCGTAAAAGCGTTACTCTGCTGTTAGTTAGATATTCTGATAGAAATAATGAAATACGAGAAGCATATGTACATTGTATTCAAAGTCAAAATATTAGCAGTACCTAACCACCAACAACAACAACAAACGACAGTCATTATAAACGGGAGGTCATCTCTTTCATTTATGTAAGCTGTGCTGTTTCAAAAATAGGCAGCACAGTTGAGGATGTCAAAGGCAGGATAGGGAAAGCAAGGAAGACCTGCATTGTTCGGCAGTCAGTGCGGAAATCTACTGAATGCAGTATAAAGAACACAATTCAGGTCCTCAGTTTTTCTATATGGTAAACTTTCTCAACAGACTGCGGAATTTTGTCTGTAGCTGAATACTCCGTTCCATACTAAAGATTAGATGGCCAGCTGTGAACAAATCAGAGGTGAACATATTGCCCATAGAATATACCGAAGGAGATGCAGATGGATGGGACACACGCTGAGGAGGCCGCTGAGTGATATCATGCGTCAGGTCATAGAGTGGAACAGAAGTGAGTAACAGCTAGTTGTGCATGGGTTTGACTGCGACATGGGGGAAGGGAATGAAAGCAAATGGGTGTTCGTCGAGTCAGCTAAAGAGGATAAAATGGAGATGTTTTGTTAATGCCCTATGTTCCACTTGGAACTCAAGACAGTAGTAATGATAACAAATTATAAATAATCAGTTAAATGAATAGTCAAATCAGAATAATTCAAAGTATATTCAACTATTTTCTGAGAGTAATTTCCCACGAAGGCATCGTGAATAATACGAGTGAGTGAACAGAACACTATCCTTGTTTGAAAAAGAATTATTTATTACAATGTAATTTCTTGAACACTTTAGCCTGTTATCCTCAATTCATTTGACTACATGTATGATGAGCTTGCCCAATGTGCCTCATAAGGAGTTGTATGATGCAGAAACTTTTGGATTCACCATTAAAATGTGCTGTTCGTATTGTGTATTATAAACTAGAATCACCTATCTGCTATTCATGCAGTATTGTGGAGCGATACCTAACTGGTCGAGGTGCTTGATTTACAGTCAATTAACCATGGGTTCAAACCCCTCTCCATTTACTTAGGCTTGAACAAACAGATGGTATTATTAAAACTCAAACACAATACGGGTGACTTATTGTCAGTCCTATGGAAAAGTGAGTGATTATCGAGTAATATTTCCATTCTGCTACCAAAACTAAACAAAGCAAAATGAATAATTATACTGGATGCTGTATAACTATCAATCAGGACATTACTGTTGCGAATAGGTTTTGTTGTAAAGAAAAACATATCCTTCAACATTTTTATCCTCACTACTTGATTGGAAAATAACTGAAGTCATTTGTTTTCCGTTAATACTGGGATAACTGCCCTGCATCATTCGATATCCGTTGCATGTCATTACTTGCCTGAATGAGAGCGGGCGCGGGGGTCTCGTTAGGAACTGAGTGGATAGAGGATATAAAACTTCTGTGTAACAATCGTTTGTAAACAAAAAATGACCTCATATTAGGTTTTAACTTTATATTTTCTTAAAATTTTATTCATTTACATTCCTAGTGGAACACAGGGCTTCAAGCTGGAGCTTTGAAGTTTCGGCAGCAGTGGTGCTTATTTTAATGGGATGGGGTTGCTAGCCTCATGCCCAACCTCTCTTTTTTACCTGTCTTATTACCGACTTGGCCAGGTAAAGGAGTGCATCGTTCAGGGTGGTTGACGAACATTCTACCGCTGTGCCATGGAATTACACTTCACATAATAGTACACCCACTGACTGGGTACTGGTTTTCAGAAGAACCGAACACACCTATCCCTGTCTCTTGAGACACGAGACCAGCACGCAGTATCATCCTGTGGTGCAACCACTCGAAAGCCCTCCTTATCAGTGGACCAATTAGATTTTAATTCTACACTCATATGTATGCGATCATTGTTACATCATGAACACACCATCTAAAATCATCATAATCAGTACGTATGTTGCAGAATTAGACTAACAAGAAGTAATCGACATAAGAGAGCAAAAATTTAACTTTAAAAAAAGAAAATGGTTCACTCACATCATCAATATCGTCATCCACATTATCTGCTGACCAACAACAATATGTGCCTAAAAATATCCATGCTGATATAAAGCACAAAAGAGTTGCAAGCCACAAAAGAATGTATGCAGAACCATAGGATATAGATGTTGTAGTACGTTGATTCTATAACACAAAGTTAATTGAAAAAGAAAAAGATTTAAAGATAAAAAACACAACAAATACAAAGTCCCTGAAAGGGTACTGTGTAAAACCAGCTTGGGTTCTGCATGATGCTTACCAGTTTGAAAGCGACAATAACTTCACCTGGTGTATTATTATTATTGTTTCCTTTAATTCCTAGAGGAACATAGGGCTTCAGCCATGCATCTCCATTGCGTTCGGTTCTCTGCTAGAGTCTTGACCTGGCTCCAAGTCTGCTCACACGTTTTCATCTCCTCTTCACTTGACCTCCTCCAAGTCACCCTTGCACTGACGACCAACTCGCCTCTTCCCTTTCGGGTTCCACTCGAGCAATGGCTTGTCTAGTGATGTCACTTGGTGGTTTCCTCAGAGTATGGACAATCTATCTCCTTTCTTCCTGTCTATTTGTTTCACAATCGGTTCCTTCTGAGTTGGTTCGCTCCCAGAGATCTCTGTTGCTGATCTTTTCTGGCCGGCCATCTGATCTTGAGTATTGAGCGAAGACAACTGTTAATGGAGGTCTGTAGTTTGTTTGAGATGCTCTTTATGACGCGCAGTGCAAGTCTCTGATCCGTATGTTGAGTAGCACTGACTGACTTCACATTGGAGTTGAAAATCCGGATATTATTTTTGATGCTGAGTGCTGTTTACCTCCACACAGACTTGAGAGTAGTGAAAGCTTGTCTTGTTTTCCCGATTCTTGCTTTGATATCCTCTTCAATTCCGCCTGTAGTTGAAACGATGCTCCCCAGGTAGTTAGGTAAAGGAGGTTGTTTCTTTCAGACTCCTCCCATTTATGCTGATTGTTGTTTTTGATGTTGGTGGTGTTGCCCAGGAATCTTCATCACCTCTGTTTTCTCTATGTTCACCTGGTGTATGCAAGTCAAACTTAAGTCAAGTCTAGAAAAGAGGGAAGGTTAAGTGTAGGGCTGGCAAATTCATCCCGCGGAAACCGCTCACATAGCTATTGACATTGCAAAACACAGAGGTAAAATAAACTCATTCTCCGCTAAATAATCCCTACTTTATCCCCAAAGGCATTTTCAGATGGTAGTAGACTTTCATCAACAACTACCTCCGTTCAAACTGAAAATCAGATGGCCAAGCACTACTGATGAATATCACAGAATTTAAGCAGCTACTGAAACAACCAACAACCTATTAACCAGCAAATATAGAGACGGATTGGACACATGCTAAGGAGACCTTCAAGTGACATAGCAGGTCAAGTCATCGGGTGGAATCTGAATAGGAAACGATTAGTTGGACGTCCGGAGGTGACATTGAGGAGATCATGCTACATAGAAATGACAGCTTGTGAGCAGTTGCAGAACCAGATAAAGTCATGACAGACAAAAGAATACAATAGAGATGTGCAGCTGAAGACCTGTATTCCACTCGAGTAGCAACAGATGAATAATAATACTGACAATAATCTGATGCCAATATAATTTCGTAGGAGAATAATCGCCGTGGAATGTTTTATGGCAAAATATTAAAATCTATCCACTTGAAAGCAAAGAGCACAGGTCTACCACTTTGTTCCAGCTTGAGAGCCTTCAATGGAAGGAACTAACCACCTAGTATTGAACTATCAAGAAAGTGGAGCTGGGAAATGAGATCCATAATTGATCAAATCTTTCAGGAGGTCACTATATCAGTGACAGTGTGCGACCACAGTGTGTGAATTTCAAGTGGTGTGCCAGTTCCCTTCAAGCTGAATGTCCGCCAGGCTAGTGGATTTCAAAACACCAGCAACAAGAACCAAGGACTTCAAGATTAGTCACAGATTGTTACAAGTTAGACAACTAATGAAAATAAGCCAGTACGGAACAGTCGTTTCGTCCTTGTTGGGGGCACATCATCTGCACTCATTGACCCTCTGGTTGATATCCTTCTGTGATCGAACTTGAAACCGATCAACCCCCTACAAATTAACACTTGAAAATTAGTTCGACGTTCACTAGTGACTGAATACTAGACGAAGTTGCTCGAAGTTCCTGTGAGAAGTGATCAAAAGGGTTCACCAGGTCAGATGTGAGGACAAATACTCGCAGATGGTGTTTACACACAGTTGCAGAAGCTCGAATTAGTGGCACCGTCATTAGATTCCGTCTCACTATCTGAGTGATCGACTGGCTTGCCTCGTAACCTGAATATGCTGGTTTCAGTCCACAGTTGGTTTATGAGTGCGTTTTAATGAAGAGTCCGTTCTGAACTAGGACGAAACAGACACCTAGTACTCCCTGGTTTTCAGTTTGCTATCCAATTTGAAACCAATCAGTGATTTCCCGGTAATTACCACTTTTCACTTCGAATCTGTTGAACAATATGTCTCCTAGTATGATTGTCATACTGTTAAATTAATCATTCCAACTAGTTCCACCATATCAACTTAAAATATAGTGTTGATTTTCCTTAAAGAAACATGTGATGGCTGAAACCAATGGAAGACCTGTGTCTCAGTAGGATTTAAATTGTCAGCCTCTCTATTCCAAGGTCTATGTGTTACTTACTGACCGATCACACCTAACTGCTAATTGGGTAGCAAGAGATTGTCTGTCGCCGGTGAGACGGTTGTGACATATTAGATCAAGAAACATCTGCAGTCATCTGTTGAAATGTTACAAGCTCTCAGGATAACTGTCATGAAAAGAAGTACCTTTTTACAATAAAATCTGAATATATATAATTCCTTAAATTCTTCATTGTAAAATATACTACTAACTAGAAGTAGTAGTGTATAAGTATTCATCAGTAATTACTCATGAATGCCAAAAATTTTCTAATGCATATTTTAGCTATAAGATTAGTCAATAAGACGCAATTGAAAGTAACTATATCTTCAGCAAATGAGTAAAGGTGTTCCCATTAAAACTCAAAACCAGAGTGCATTATCTCAAAGGCGTCGGTGGCACAGTGGTTATGACTCTCGCCAACCATACACATGGTCCGGGGTTCGATCCCCTGCTGACGCACACCTGATATCTATGGTCGGCCTGCAAAATTTGGGCTACCGATATCGTATGCTGAAAATTCCATTCCTGTACCGAAAATTATGGTGTGGAATCAAGCTGTAATAAAAAAAGCCTGAGGGGTAAGGACTCCCAACTAGGATGTAAAGCACATCGTGGATTCTACTGGTAGCCACCACTAACCAACCATCACAGTGGTAACCGTATGGCATTGTTCAAAAGTCTCTTCCAAGAACCAGCACGTCAAGGAAGACGATCAAGCATTTCGGTACAATAAATGCATAAAACAGGAAACTCAAAAATGACAAGGTCAACAAATATTTATGCGAATCGATAAGCCTTCTCGTGTTAGGTTTGTAGACATGAATATTAATCTTAAGTGCAGATGTTCCAGCCACCGAAAGAGTGGCACTATACTCCCTCTTAAGAATGGAACATTCAGTCTAATTAGTATATCAATGAAGAGTGGTGGCAAATGGATAGCCGAATAGCTAAATTTTAACGTCTGTGAACTTCTCGATGGTAAAGCAGTTACATAGTGATAATAATTTCACAATTTAGGTTCAAGTTGTCCACAGCTGAACAGTTTTAAAAAGTAATAAATGGCCGTCTGGTGTTTATATCTGGCTAGTATTATTTGAAACGAGTGCTATTCAGCTGCTCATATCAAGCAGTAGTACATACCGTCATACACTGATTCCTTGATTGCTGTCTATGGTGTCAAACAGATCAAATGCACTATGATCTGAATAATTCCGGTTTCTTAAGGAATCAAAGGTGAAGTATCACCTCAGACTGTGTACTCTGCAAACTGTGAATTTTTGTTTGTTACTTAAACTTCCCCTTATTGATGACACTGAATGGTAAGACTATCAGTGAAGCAATCTATGCCTCATACATATTCTAGATGAGAAACGTTTTCCAGGAGAAATCATTAGACTGACTCAACTCAGTCATGATGAATCTAGTAATCAATTTGCAGTCAATAAGTAACAGCGTTAAAAATAGTTCTTACCTCAGACCATTGATTGAATCCATATGGATAACCGGATGATTTACCATATTTGTCTTGGAGCTGTTCAACATGAAACATGATTATTGCACTTTGTAAACAGAATCCTATCAGAAAACAAATGCACGAAATCACATTACAGGCCATTACATTTAGCGGATTTACATGTGTTTGTAATGTAAGACTTAGTTAGCTCATAGAAGTCACATAAAGCTTATTTACACCACAGTACCCTTCTTGTTATGACATGGCAACAGTCTGCCAGTGAGTGGTGTAATCACCACCTTGGTGAAGCATTAGCTATCTGAATAAAGCAAGAACAAAAGTTTTTGCAGAATAAAATGGCACCATCATTTATTTCGTCGCCTTCTCATCAGCTGCTTACAGGCCAAAGTTATTATTAAGTATATCTACAGAAACATTTTTTAACATAATTGCACAGAGTTCATTTTTAAACAAAAATCAGCCAACCAGTATATGCATACAGTAATAATACATATAATAATATTAAACACTACTCCTAACAATAATGACCATACACAATGGAAACTTTCAGCATTACGTAATCAGATGAAAGAGATGTGGAAATATCCAGTCACCAGGGCGAAGAAAGACTGAAAACTGTTTCTTTCTCAACGCACAAATCAAGTTTCAGGAGACTGATGAAGATGGCTTCAGCAAACTTGAGGAGAATTGAGTTCCTTTGCCTATTGGTAATTTCGAACGATTTTGCGATGTCCACCTTGTGAACCATGTCAAGGAGATGCCTGGCGATGGCACTATTTAAAGCATTTGTTCCTTTTAGACACAAGTAATTTGGTACATGTTCAGAAAATCGTAGATATGCCCTTCTTTCTGGCCTTCCAATGTAACTGCTCTTGCAGATACATGTTAATTTGTATATACAGTTGGAGTTAAAATGAGAAGGATATCTATCGATTTTCGATTGCACCAAAGAGCAAGTTGTTCGATAAACGGGGACGACCTTAGCTACAGGATAGGCTCTGGCTAATGACGAACTCAGTCTTCTGTTGACCATTGCTGCAATTTTTTCACCTTTATAATCAAGCTGAATGTAGATGGGCTTTTTATCCACTGTGATTTGCCTGGCATTTGGGACTTCAGATGTTCCATACTTGTTAATGAACCTTTGAAGGTAACCGTTGCTTTTCAACATCTTTTCGAGAAACATAAATTCTTCCTGTAATTTCTCTACATATCATAATCTCCTAGCTCTATAGTATAGAGTCTTAACTACTCCACGTTTAAAGCTATTTGGACAAAAACTATGATCCTTTCCATAGTGGGCTTTCGATAAATTAACTTCTGAAGACTACCATCTTCTAGGCGTTGCATGGCAATATCGAGGATTCGAAGTTCTATCATACAGTGACAAAACTTAGAGGCTTGAAGGAAAAATTCCATTTTTCTTTTAGACAACCTCTTTCATGTGATGTCTTCCGGAAAGTGCTTGAAAGCAACAGTCAGACCTGGGATAGAATCCCAATACAAAAACGTTTTCTTTTTGCCTCCACATACTTAAAATTAGGTAATTAGAAACTGTTTTACGACTACCTTATGGAAAGTTTGAAAGTGAAATAAGGGGTTGATAAGCACTCGACAAAGTATTTCATTAAGCTTATGCATGAATGGTTCCATTGTAGAATACTTGGCAACCGCTCACGTGGTCCCTGCTTAATTCTCTACTAGGCCTAGTTGACTAGCCGACGTTAAGCTGAGAGAAGAGGGATAGTTGGACGTGAGGAAAGCAATCCAACCTTATAGAAATAAACCTTAAAATCTCTCATGTTCCAATCGATCAATCGCCTTACTAAATTACAGCATCTAAACCGTTTTTAAACGGTTAAGAGAAAAGGAGTTATTTCCATTTGAAAGTCATTTATTCCAAGGAGGTGTCAGTTCCTTGGAGGTTGTAAATACATCAGTAAGTACGGAACTAACCATTTACATCAGTGATAAAGAGAGATGTCGCATGAACTAAACAGCATTTAGGTTAAATCAGTTTTTCTTTGATAAATTATTCTTCAAAAGAAGATATTATTTTTGCATTCAGAACAAGTCAATTCTCTACTAAAAGTGTCCACACACTGTTAAATAGGATGGTGATCCTTTGGAAACTTACTACATTCCTCTATATCAATTCGCTAGCAGTTTATACTACTGATAAGGATATGTAAGTAGTACACTGTGTACTGAATGCACTGAAAGGTATAAACAGACAAAGGACCGATGGATTTTCAAAAACGAGACAAGCGGAGAGAATCAGTTATCAGTAATAGACTTTACAGAATAAAGACGAAGTAGAAGAGGTTGAAGAAAAGAGAACATTAGTTGTGTGTGCAAGTTAAATTGATATATGGGAAATGATCCTGGATCATTCATTAAAATCCAATCCCCCTCGTAAATTATTTCAGTGGTTCAAAGGAAATCCATATTTGTGAAGAGCATAGAGTGCTTGCCGACTACCTACAGCCATCTGACATAGACTTCGTTTTATTGATCTCCAGTTTAAATTCTCAAATTTTATTCTTCTATAAATAAAAGTAGAGGAATCAGTTGTTATTTCAGTAGTATATTCCTAGTCAGTCACGTACGTGGTCTGGGTTCGATTCTCGACCAATGGATGTACAACTAACTCTCTCCTGGTTTAATGATTAACCTGGATTGGTGTAGGGCTAGTCATACTACCCTATTGCTGGAGCCTCAACACTAAGCTTCAAGCTGGAAACATAAGGATTGAGAAACGCAAAATTTAAAGGCCATTTAACAGTGTTTCGGCTAAAATGCAAAAATAAGAAATGAAAGAGAGGAATTTCAACATCTAATTTAAATACTGAATTATTTTACTTTTACAAATTTATTTATTTTAAACCATTGAACACTTACCAGCTAACATTAAAAATATACCAATAAGCAATCGCCAAATTTGAAAGCATCTATTGTCAGTCTCTTTTTTATACCAGACAATAATTAGCGCGAGTGCAGCGATAAAGCATATACACATTATTATTATTCCGATTGCATGCATAGCCAATTCAGCAAGACGTAAATCTAATCAAAAAAAATTGTATGGTAAAGTCAGTATCATGTTATCAAAAGAAGAAGAAACTTCCAACAAAATAACAAGTGTAATATTACATACTATCTACCAGTTTATTGACTAACTATCTCTTAATTTCTTAGAGAGTGACGTCAGTGTCATCTTGAAGAAAGATAGAAGTAGAATGAATGACTTCACTACATTTAACATTGAACAATGAATATCGAACAGCCTATTTAAACAAAATCGCCCTTCTTCTGGAATGCACCTTATCCGCTCAATGAGTAACAGTCATAGAATCCTGTCGGATGTGTAGAAAGGTATGCCGAAGTGAATAATCTCTTTTCAGTTATCTATGTTTCACATTAGACACGAGATAAGATCGTACATTTCCCATCATTTGGAGACTGCACTTCATTCAACTAGACAAAGTGTCACAGAACTGACTTGTATTCTTTGCTACACATCAGAGTTTCCTTCGAGTCGATTATTCAACTATGAAGATTGAATAGGAGAATCACTGAAGGTCATAAAACAGTGGAGATCTGTTCCATCCTCGTTTAGGCAGCTCCACCAATGCACATTGACAACCCCAGTGGCGGTGAAACTCGTCTCTTTGAGATTATGCAACAAACACTTTCACCATTCAGTGGATGACTTGTGCATTTTGAACTGTGCTGATCTACAAAAAATCATTATTATTCCCTTGAGTTCCAAGTGGAACAACACATCCCCACTTTCAAGTGTTGGTTTGTAGGGATTTGATTGGTTACAGGATTTTCATCATGAGCTGACATTAGTTAGAGAACCATTGGAAAACCTGGGAGTACTGGACAGCTGTTTCGTCCTAGTTTGGGACTCTTCCTACTTTGTTCGATTCTCGGTTGTCCTCTCTAGCTGGCTGGGGCTACGATTGCCCATAATCTCTCATCTTCTCCTCCCCACACAATCTCCCCTGTGTCACTTGTGAGGATGGATGTCCCACCAACGACAATGGTTGGGGTAGCGCTAAATCACGAATTGGTAGAAGTTAGAATTCATGAGCCACTGAATCGGGTCCTAGATTGTAATATACTTATTATGCGTTCCTTGCTTTCCAAAGTCGAACATAGGGCTTCAGCAGAACATCTCAAGTTGACTCTGTTCTCTGCTGTCAGTTTCAGCTGACTCGACTGCTCCAGAAAGGTCTCCTCCATGCTATCCTTAGACGATTACCCGTCGTCGTTTCTTATTCGAGTTCCACTTGACAGTCTGGCATGTGTTGTTGTTGTTGTTGTTGTTGTTCAAATATCCCCTCAGCATATGTCCAATCTACCTCCATTTCCTTGTACATACTTTTCTGACTATTAGCTGTTTGTTGGCTGGTTGCCAGATAAAGGTTCTTGTCACTTACCCTTTTTTAACCAGCCATCTGATTTTCAATATCAAGAGAAGACATCTGTTGAAAAACGTCTTTAGCAGTTTGTTGGTGTATGCCTTATAACATACCCAGTAAAGTACTAGTATCCTAATCGATATGAAGCCATTTTTTGGGTTTCTAAAGGGGATAAAACTTTGTTTGTATTATACTACCTAGAAGTTAATAGAATCTAACTTATTTCGATGTTGCTTTTTTGACAGTGGCGTGTTTCATCCTGCTTTGGATTTGTCAGATAAATATACCTGTATTCCAGTTAATGACATACATTTTTACGGCGGATGCATATCTGACTGTACCATAGCCGTACCATGCACCAACCTGCAAAACGTGATCGTGAAGACTATCTAGCCTGGCTACATAATTCAGTGATAAAACATCTGGTCAACTCAGGAAATTCAGCGCCATTCGAAAAATCCTTCAAAATGGTATACAAGATTCGATCAGACCTATCAAAGGGAGTAAAATCTGGGCATAGCCTTGGCACCAGCCATACACAAAACTCAAACCCACGCTGTGTATCCAAAAGAAATACGTCCAACCCTTGTCCCTGTCATGGCCACCATAAACAGATAACTCTTAATAGTGACTATCCCATTACCTTTCTAAACCAAACTTCCTGTTTATTCACGTTATTCTTAATTTTTTCTTAATCTCTGTTTACACTAACATATTTTCATATCCTGCCTATTCTGTCATTTTATTATTCCTATATATTTAGTCCCTAATTGCATAAACAATTTTTCATCACATTAGTTATGATCCCACTAGATTTTTTATCCAAACATCCTATCTATTGTTGTTATTTCTACATTTATAACCCCTAATTGCACAGTATGTCAATCTTCTCAGTAACTATGATGCTACTTTGTCTGAGCTCTATTCGTCCCCCTGTTTATTATGGCATTTCAATTCCTAATTGTAATTTTGTTAATTTGCCCCTTGACAGGAAACTCTGTTCTGGAACTTTCTCACGCATTTACTATGAATCCACGAATGTACAGCTCAGTTAATGACTCCCTCGGAAAGAAAATGTTCTTGGCTGCAACCATCTTTTTATTATTCCCTATGGTCAAATGTGTATATTGCGCGATATTTGATTGTTTCTTTTTCTTTCGAGCGATCAACTACTCACTACTCTGTCTAACTGAAGAAGAAAGTAGAATAAACAATATAAATGAACCAGGGTACTACAGAGGCTCAAAATGCATCTTTCTCTCTACATGTTTCTCTTTCGTTGCCCTGTCTCACATTATACAGTAAACAGCACGCTTATTCACCTAACAACAAGGTTTCTTTATTGATTGCGTAGTACATCCTCGATCCGCGTTTTGTGCGTCGGTGGTACAGCGGTTAAGACGCTCGCCGACCGCGCACATGGTCCGGGTTTCGAATCCCGGCCGACGCACTCCTTTACCTCGCAAAGCCAGAAATAAAGCTGGCAAAGAGGAAAGGTTGGGATTGAAGCTAGCAACCCTATCCCGTAAAAATAAAGACTGCTACAGGAACTTCAAGCTTCTAGCTTGAAGCCCTATGTTCCCCTGGGAAAGTGAAGGAATAAAAAAATACATCCGTGTTCATTGAAGCGTAAATTCTTTTCGACTAAAATAAAACGTATTAAATAAGTAGGAATTAAAGGGGAAAACAAGGTTGCATTTATCCACTGATATTAGTGAAACTCATTAGCTAAAGATTATCTCTTTTACATCTTTAGAAATTTTCGCTTTCTCGTATTTTAAAATTTCCAAAAATTTAAAAAAATGAAACGTACTTGTCATTAGACTTGAAAATTCATCATTCACTATATTTGGATTGCGATACTGACATGCATTATCTGTAAAGATCAATAATAATAATAATAATAATAACATTAATAATAATCATAACTATTATTGTTATTATTATTGCTTAGTGGATGCTTATCAAGGGTGACCTGAGATCTCAGATCATGGTAAAATTATAAAACCAGAGACCTCCAAAATATTATTCCCAGTCGCCTTAACTCAGCAAGTACATTAGTCGGTTAACAATCTGAAGGACGTTGGTTCGTTTCTTGCCGCCGCCACCGAAGACTATTTGAGATAGTCTCATTATTTTCTATTGTTATCAAAGATATCAAAGAGGAATTGATTAATGTGAATGGTGACTGCTGAATTGTCTGTCAGTAGTGAAAATCCTCACTCTTCGACTATGGAAACTTCTTCTTTCCTAAATATTGAATTAACGCCTCCATGGAAATGCTTCCAACAGAGTTTTGATGCAATCTTCTTGAAGTGTACAGAGTGAAATGGAATGTTCTCGTTAAGTTGTTCACTCCTTATAATATTATGAGTCCGTACTTCTGATATTTTGATGTAACCTGGTTGATACACCACCTATCTTTATTTCTTGGGTCCCGAAGGGAATATAGGGCCTCAAGCTCTAAGCTTTTGAAATTTCATTAGTTGTGGTATTGTGTATTTTACATGATAGGGTTATTAGCCTCAAACCTACTCTTTCCTTTTTTCCAGGATTTCTGTTGACTAGTAAGTAAGCCAGGTGAGAATTTTATGAGTGTGTCAACACGGCAATCGAAATCTGATCACATGCATGGTTGGCGATGATTCTCACACGGAACAACCAACGCACAATACATTATTCAGTGGAAATATTGTTAATATAACTGATGAACATTTTACTGCAATATATGTATGTAAGTCAGAAAAAGATGAGTAAATGCGATGAGTGAAAAATGCTTAGATGAACTTCATTTCGACGAATAATCTCTGTGTAGAGAATAATAAGATCTGAGATAAATATAGACGTCGTTTAAATGCTTTTCTTCTATTATAATTTTTATTTTATAGACAGTGTGCCATGGTATTTGCGCGATTTATGATTGAAGGTTTGTCGAGGATAAAGTTGAAAGATTTCCGATAGTAGAATCACTAATTCCTTGGGTATACCACGTTAAGCCATGAAAATTTGAAAGAAGGACATTGACATCACTGTACAGTATACTTTCATCGTATGCAACCACACAATACAAGTTAAATGCATGACCTTCTGGAGGACATTTGTTAGCCTATAATCACACCAGTGAAGGTTTTTAAACTTTAGCATCTCGTCCAGCATTTGCCAACGAATTTGTACCGTATCCATGGAGAAGATAATGCATCATTTTGCACTGTATAAATAAGGTACTGATTCAATGAGGAATGGTTGTGTAGCGAACCTGTCTTTCTATCTAAAGACAGTCACTTCGAACGTCTCTCTGTCAAACTCAGTCAAAACTTTTCTCCTGATTGCGTATCAGTTTATTTTTACCTCCCATCGTCAACAGATAAGGAACTGTATTCATGGCATAGAAATGAAGCTATGAAAAACCCGCCATTGAATGTTAGTCTTTGCGTTCCACTAGGAACTCAAGCTCTGAGCTGTTAAGTTGCAGTAGAGCTGGAGTTGCTTGCCTTGCGGCCATCCTTCCCCATAATCAGAATTTGATGTCTTCTGGTAAACTAGGCGAGGCTCAGGCGAGGTGTTGGACGGAGGTCGGACCTGGACCTCTTATCCTATTGGCAAGCACTTTTACCACTAATACACAGATAAAATTACGAGTAATAAATTGTGTCTTCGTCAAAACATGAAACATTTCAAGTTTTATCTAATAGGCAGTCTATGCAGTTTAGTCACAAACCAGCCAGTCTTATACCATCCAAGGTGTTAGTCTAATACTCATACAGTTTCCAGTATTATATACTACTGCTACGCGGTAAGTCAAGAAGTTTGTCTTTGGATGTTTTTATTACCGCCGATATATAAACCAACTTTAAGTATACAAACGAACATTAGTATTCGCATAATAAGAGTTTCTGAATGAACTGCTCAACGGTTTATCCAATTAAGCGACACTAATTTAGGTGGGTCTGGACCCGTTGACTGAAAATCAAGTGCTTTGGTCGATAAGCTCATCACATCACCATTGAATCAGCTAAACAGATTATCATCAATACGTAAATGTATATTAGCCGATCAGTGCCCTCTGTTATCTGCATTCCATCTTCAGAAATATTGATATTTCTTCTGAATATTGTATTGATAAAGTTTAAAATATTATTTCACTGAAGGTGGCTAACAATGGAGTCAAAAATGAGCGTTTCGTCTGACTTGGGACTCATCTGCTGGATGCACTGACATTCCCAATGAATGACGCCATTCCCATTGAGTATCCATTATTTTACTACCGTAAAATAATAATTTCAACAACTGAGGCGAAAACTACTTAAATTTTGTGCTGATGATGACACTGGGATAAATTCTCCACTGTTCTGTTTTCATTCGCTTACTCAGAACAATATGTTTTGAACATGGATTGTTAAATACGGCTGCTTATTTTGTCCAGCCGGCAGTAAAATACGAGATGCACACAAAATGGCTTCATTTGTGAGTAATCTATTTACACTTTTTTCATTTTTCTACCTTTTCACTTGAATCAAAGAAGCCAGTGTTATCTTGGTTAGTGGTGACTAGCGGCGGGTTGCTTGGTGCCGATCTTGTCCTGCCTACGACTCCTCATCTGAATATAACTGCACCACCAGGTAAATGATGGTTTTCCCACGGAAACTCGAAACCTATACTTGTCGTTTTTAACGCCGAACATTATCCATTAGGTGTCCAGTCGCCACCAGCCAAAATAACATCACGGTAATCCTCAGGCATCACTGAAGCTTCCGTACTATGAGTTGAAATGTCAGCAGAGACCGAGTATCCCGTTCCAACACAACACATCAACGGAAATATGAATTAGCGGAATTAGCGAATTGGTCCACCGAGTGGTTGCACCAGAGGATGATACAGCATGCTGGTCCCGTCTCGCAAGAAGCAGGGTTAAGTGTGCTCGGTTCTCCACTGAAAACCAATACCCAATCAATGGGTGTATCACTGTGTAAATTAGCCTAAAAACAAAGGTCATTGTTCACAATCATCATAAGACCAATAAGTCACGTTGACTGTAGTTCATCAGTGTCCTGTTAATCGATTAATTATATGAATTTCAGTTGTTCCTGAATAGAAGTTCCAGAAATGCTTTTTAATTTGTTTTAGCTAAGTTCTCCGATGAAACTAATCCGTCAAATAAGATACATACCTTTAAATGAAACTGTTTTTTTGTTTTTTTGCTCACCTGAAGTAAAACACACTTGCGTATAACCAAAACTTCTAGCCTTGTTTAAATCAGCATTTGTTGCATCAAAAACTGTAGGATTTACCAGTAGAAATGTTGGCAGAGCTATAGATGCAGCTGCTAAAGCAATTGCTATGGCCAAGATTATGAAACCAGCAATCACCCAGCTCCGTGTATATCTTACAGGTCGAAAATCATAATCATCCATGTCCATAAAACCAGATTTCAGGGTAGACGACATATCTGTAAGAATAAAAAGAGAAATGGTAATAAGAATCAATTGGCTTAGCTATTCGACTTATTTAGACAGAAAACTTAGGGCTGTACATCGACTGGCTACCAGGAATTGATCAGTGTCATGTCTCTAGTCCTTGGTATGTTACTTCTGACCGAGTTCTGAGTCTACAGGGTGATCACTGATCTAGACAACTCATCGTAATAGTGTACTTCTATTTCATATTAGATGGTTGTAAAGAGGAGGTTGTAATGACGCCCTACATCTGGGTTTCTCGCTTACAGGCACTCATCAACAAGGTGTATATGCAGCGTTGAGGGAAACCAGTGTCCCGTCTGAGATTCGCACCTGCGTCACTTGGTGCTTAAGCCAGTGATGTTATCATTGAGCTAACCGGATTCATGACTAGCTTACTCTAGGGCTGTAATGGGTATGTTCATTTGTCACTGCGGTCATGCGTCGAGTCATTAGTATTGGTGCTGAATGGATTTTATCAGTCACTTCTACAATGTTGTTATCAGAAAAGATGACTGGCCAAAATAGAGCATTCTGAATTATTGTTACATTTCTGGTGGTAATTTGTGGGTAGGCCTGGACATAGGTTTCCTGCTTATCGGCACATTTCAGCAGTGTGTGAATGAGACTCCAGTATGTGTATGCATTTTGATGAGGATTCTGTAAATTGTTCTCCTCTTTCTTTGTAAAATTCCACTGCAAGACACAATAAAATAGACTTTTCGTCATGAGAACTGAACGAACCTAGAGTTTCTGGGTCACTAAATTCCAACAAACCTCGCCTAGATTACTAGGTCACTAGTATTCTAGCCGGTCCCAAGCCCGGATAAAGAGGGAGGGTTGGGGCGTGGTGCTAGCAACTCCACCCCCAAAACTTAACCAAATTGCTACTAAAACTTCAACGCACAAATATATTCAAAATTCTAAAATTACAAATAGTGACCTTATTTTTCGCTGGAATCGGGGGAGTGAAATGACGCGGGCTGGTGAAAGCCTTCGGGAAGCCAGTCAGCCGATGTGCCTTCTTTCGATGAAAGCGAAAATAAGGATGGGGACGTGGAATGTTCGTACAATGTACGAAGCTGGGAAGGCTGCTCAGGTAGCCGCAGAAATGAGGAGACATAAAATAGAAGTGTTGGGAATCTGCGAGAGCAGATGGAACGGATGTGGAAGGAGCCAACTATCAACTGGAGAGACAATAATCTACTCCGGTCACCCAGAGGACAATCACGAGCACACCGAGGGACTAGCCATCATGATGTCACCAACAGCGGCTAAAGCTCTTATGCAGTGGGAACCAATCTCCTCCAGGATAATGACAGCCAGGTTCAACTCAAAAGGAAAAAAGGTTACAATCATTCAGTGCTACGCGCCTACAAACGCCTCAGAACATGAGAAGAAGGAGGATTTCTACAGTCAACTACAAACAGTAATGGACAACGTCCCAAAGAGCGATATCAAAATCCTGATGGGCGACATGAATGCGAAACTGGGAGGAGACAATACAGGAAGAGAACTCACCATGGGTCGTGAGGCCCTCGGTGAAATGAACGAAAATGGCGAACTCTTCTCAGACTTCTGCGCCTTCAATGATTTGGTGATTGGTGGCAGTGTGTTCAAACACAGGGATATACACAAGGCAACATGGATTTCACCAGATGGACACACCAAAAACCAGATAGACTTCATTCCAATCTCAAGGAAGTGGAGACGGAGCCTACTGGACACAAGATCGAGGAGAGGAGCAGATGTGAGTTCAGACCACTATCTAGTACAAGTTACTTTTAAGGTGAAGCTGAAAGCCTCGAGGATACCTGGGGATAGGCCACAATGCAAGTTCAACACGCAAAAACTGAAAGACACAACCACAAAGGACACTTTCACTGCAACTGTCAGAGCAAAGCGGGAAACACTACGTGGCAACACTGAGGAATCATCCGCGGTAGACCATCGGAACTCTCTGAAGGTAATTTTCAACGAAACGTGCTCAACGGTTTTAGGAAGAAAGAAGAAACAAGACAAGGAATGGCTCTCAACAGACACTTGGAAACTAATAGAGGAGAGGAGAAAGGTGGAAGAAAAAATGATTCAATGCAAAGATGGACAAGACAAAGAGATGCTGACCTCAACTTACACAGCACTGGACAAAGAAGTGAAGAAGAGTGCCAGGAAGGACAAAAGACAATTCTACGACAACCTGGCTACTGAAGCTGAGAAGGCAGCAGGCAAAAGGGACCTGAGGACACTATATCAGATAACCAAGTCTCTATCCGGGAAGAGATCAACACAAGTGAAACCTATAAAAGACAGCCAAGGGAACCCAATTACCAAGGAAGAAAGACAGATTAAACAATGGGCGGACCACTTCAAAGGACTCTTGAACTGACCACCACCTGCAGCCCGTCCAGTAATACCAACAACAGCACGTACACAACTGCAAGTTGACACCAATCCTCCAACGAAAACTGAAGTCATGAATGCAATGAAGCTTCTGAAAGCTGGAAAAGCAGCTGGACCAGATGGAATACCCCCGGAAGCACTGAAAGTGGACCCAGAAACGACGGCAGATATGCTGACTCCATTATTGCAAAAGATCTGGAAAGAGGGAAAGGTGCCTACTGACTGGAGGAAAGGTTACCTGGTGAAACTACCAAAGAAGGGCGACCTGGGACTCTGCAAGAACTGACGAGGAATCATGCTCCTGTCGACGCCAAGTAAAATCCTGAGTCGCATCATCCTGGAGAGAATCAAGGACGCGCTGGATACAGAACTCCGACCAGAACAAGCTGGATTCAGGAAAGGCAAATCATGTTCTGACCAAATTGCAACTCTACGCATTATCATCGAACAAAGCATGGAATGGCAATCAAATCTCTACCTCAACTTCATAGACTTTGAGAAGGCCTTCGACAGCGTTGACCGCGAAGTAATTTGGAAACTACTCGAGTACTACGGCGTACCCCAAATATTCATCAACCTCATTCAACAACTGTACGACAACGGCACATGTCAAGTGATCCACAACGGAAAACTCAGCGAAGCGTTTGGAGTAAACACAGGAGTCAGACAAGGGTGCTTATTATCACCAATGATATTCCTAATTGTGGTGGACTGGATTATGCGTCAGACAGTGGGGAACGAGAAGACAGGGATATCCTGGACCGACGTGAAGAACCTAGAAGACCAGGATTTCGCAGATGATTTATGTTTGATGTCACACAAAATCGAAGACTTACAAGCAAAAACCGACAAACTGGTCGAAGAAGCAGCAAAGACAGGACTCCAGGTGAACATAGACAAGACGGAGGTCATGAAAATAACCAACCAACAACAGCAGCAACATCCAGTGCCAATCACCATCAACGTGAGGGATTTGAAAGAGGTTACTTCTTTCCTTTATCTGGGGAGCATTGTCTCAACCACAGGAGGAACGAACGAGGATGTCAAATCGAGAATCGGGAAGGCGAGAAACACATTCATCAACCTGAAACCAATCTGGAAATCTTCGTCAATCAGCCTGCATCAACAACAAAATTCGGATTTTCAATACAAACGTGAAGTCAATTTTGCTTTACGGATCAGAAACTTGGCGAGTCACCAAGAATATTTTCAACAGGTTGCAGACCTTTATCAACAACTGTCTTCGCTCCATACTGAAGATTAGATGGCCAGAAAGAATCACAAACAAGAAGCTATGGGAACAAACGAAACAGGAACCAATCGCCCAACAAATATGCAGGAGGAAGTGGAGATGGATTGGACACTCGCTGAGGAGGCCGTTGAGTGACATCGCGCGTCAAGCCCTCGAGTGGAACCCGAAAGGGAAGCGGCGAGTGGGACGTCCAAGGATGACATGGAGGAGATCGTGTGAGGAGGAGATGAAACAGTATGGAATAACATGGACGCAAGTGAAAAGTACAGCAGAAGACAGAAGCAAGTGGAGACGTGCAGTTGAAGCCCTATGTTCCACTAGGAACCCAAGGGAACAATAATAATAATATAATAAATTCCAACAAGGCAGTCAGAATGTCAGTAATGTCACCTGATAATCTGCATGTCATGAGTGCACGCTTCTGAACTGTCCAAGACTAAGGCGAAAAAATGGTTCAGGTTTTTTCTGACTGCTGACAATATGTGAGTACTTTTCATGTTTTTCTTTAATATGAGGGATGGTGGTTTTGTTGAATATTACACTCTAGTGACTGGCAGATTCTAGTTGAGTCATCGATCTGTCTTCCACCACTATGGCGTGCCACAAATCTTTAATAACATCATTCAACAGCTGTATGACGATGCCATATGTCAGGTGATCCTTAACGGAGAACTTAGCCAAGACTTTGAGGTGAATACATGAGTTAGACAACACTGCCTATTAATACCAGTGATATTCCAAATTGTCGTGGACTAGATTATGCGGGAGACTGTTGGGAGTGAGAAGAGAAGAATACTTTGGAGTCAACAAAAACTCTGGAAGATCTGGACTTCTCCGAAGATGTATGTTTAATGTCATATAAATTGGAAAACATACAGGAGCAAACCAACAAGTCTGCTGAAGACGCAGAGAGTGAAGATAGGACTTCAAGTGAACATAGGGAAGACTGAGGTGATGAAGGTGCCCAGAGACCAACAACAAGCCTCAGTCACTATCAACGGGAGTAATTTGAAAGACTTCACTTCCTTCACTTATTTAGAGAGCTTCGTTTCAACGCCAGGCGGGCAGCATGGATAAGGATGTCAAAACCGGGATCGAAAAGGGAAGGCACATCTTTATCACTCTGAAATCAGTTTGAAAATCTCCTGCTCTCCAAAGCATCAGGAACAAAACTAGGACTTACAACACTAATGTTAAGCCAGTCAGTTCTACAATTTTGCTCGGAAACTTGGCGCGTCATGTAAAGCATTTTCAACAGGTTGAATTGAAGATTGGATGGCTGGAAGGAATTAGCAGCAAGAAACCCTGAGAAGGAACCAGTCAAGAACCTTTGCTCATGAA